TTTTTTTTTTTTTGGGGGGGATTCCTAGAGTTTTTTTAGGCTCCACCTAAGGCAGCAACCTCTTGAGCCTCACCTCAGGTTCAGCTATGTCGCCATATGTCATTACAGTATACGCTCCCTACGAAATATTTGCTCCCTTCAATGATTAGAGGGATTAAGCATTAATCTCAATGACTATTAAGTAGAATGAAATCAAATCACACACTCACCTTTGCTTCCATCTCAATTACAAAAATCAAATCACAAGCTAACTTACCTTTTGCTTCCCTTCAACGATTTAGTGATGAATGATCATTTAAAAGGTCTTGAAGAACCATATGTCAAGGACCTTGAGCTTCAATAGTAGTTGATTTGTTGGACTCTGTGAAACTTAATTGCCTAATTATATTGAAAAGCTATACCATCGTGTACCAATCCATGTGCTCTGCTTGTTCTCTGATTCTATTCCTTTCGGACAGCCGACCAAAAGCAAAGCAGGCTTTTGATCTCGTCGAAAGCCGTCCCACCAAAGACACCATTCACCATTTCGTTATCAAAAACGTCATATGTCCTTGAGCTCTTTGACAAACCTTTGGTTCTTCTTCATCAAAGTGAAAGTCTATAATGCTCATCAAATTGTTCCACTTTAGAGGTATTGTCCAAAATCAATCTTCATTCGAATAAGGCTCACTACCTATTATAACTTCCTACAATTTCTCGTACTTCTTCCTCAACCTTCGCTTCTCCCTTGAATGTTTTTGAAGTTCTCTTCCCGATAACATTATTGACTTTCTCCAGTTTCTTTGAACTAACCTCAACCCTCAATCAGATAACTAAGATGTCATCAATTTCTTATTTTTTTCCCGTACCGCAAGAACATTATCAATGATGTACAAAGCAAATTAGTCAGTTTATCTTACAAAAAGATATACAAATCATCATCATTTATTTCCTTTCTCACTTTGCATAGAACAAAATGAATAATTACAAACCCAAGGGTCGACAAAAATCATAGAACGAACGTACCTTGACTTGAATGCTTCCTTCACTTCGGTAGGATTAATTAAAAAATGTAGAATTCTATATCTTACCTTTAGATCCTATGTTTAATTGTAATTCTACCTATTAAGCAGCTATGATGGGTTATGTAGTAAAACCATAGATTTCATGTTCTTCGTCCAACTTTGGAATTTCAGCATACGTTTTTTTCCCTATTCTTGCATAAAACATAAGTCTTGCCAAGAGAAAGAAGAAACCAAAATACATTTATGAAAGGTAAAACAATGTTCTGTCACTCCGTCTACTTCCCCTGCCGCCTAGTACCTTCATTTATTTTCTTCTCCCAACAATCTACTTCTTCCAACATAACCTTTCTTTTTAAAGATCTCTTTATCATTTAAAGATCTTCTTTGTCGGTCATCAACTCAACTATCTTCATTTCAAGCCATGGCACTGGCTCTGGTCGTCCACCATCACATACTGGCAAAAATGGTGGCTTACACAGAAAATTATCTTAAGCCACCACCAATATAGCAAAAAGGGTATTGATCAAACAAGGCATCTGACATGGCGTTGCAAATATAACCCTTGCAAATGTATTCATCTTGCTCCCACTATTGACATGCCCGTGACTGCGTTAAAGTTTCGCCCTCCATCTTTTAGGGTTTTGGTGTAGTTAGAACATAGATCACATTCAACATCGTCAATAAGAAATCCAACTAGTTTTGCCATCCTCAAAATTTACTCCACCGGACCGCTCCAACTTGACAAAATTTACTGCAAAATCTCAGATAGAAAACAAAGGTGCAAACCTTGAAAAATTGTCTTAAGATAGTTGGAACTATATTCTCAATGGCAGGGGCAAGAATATAGATAAGGTTGGAGAAGATCACATCGAACTTTTAAGACGAAGAAACTTGACTCCAATGCACGTGTTTGCCATTTCCTTAAGACGACCAGTGAAGGAAGGGAAAGCAAAATGACTCCAAGATATAAAGGAACCCAAATATGTTGTATGAGTGGTGCATTCCGAATACTAAGGAGATAAGAAACCAATATAGAGAGACTCGTGTTCTATAATTCTGAATTTACAAAACACAAACAAAGCTTTAAACAGATCAATTTCGATGAAAACTGAATTGGATGAAAATGGCCATTCTGATCTGCACAGAGGACGGCAACCCAAGAAATGCAGAATTACCTGCATCCTTCCCTTTGGGGCTTCAGCTGGCCATCCTACATCCTCTGCCACTTAGAACTTTCCCTATATGATCCCTTGACTCGTGCTAACTCTTTATTGCATCTCAGAATGTCAAAAACTAATATTATTAGTTGAAATTCTCCAACACCTTATTCACTCTGAGACTCATCTTCTCGAGCCATTACTATAGGTACAATTGGTAGTGCAACAACATTAAGATTTAAGAATAATCAATTATGCGATGTCATACTTACTACACGGTAACCTATCACTTTTTGGGGTTATAAAAATAGAGATGAACTAAATGAGCTAAAATAATTAAAATCATATTGGAGATCAAAAACATATCTAAATCATTGAGCAGATACATCATTGAAAACATAAATGCATAAGCATATGTTGAGCAGATGACAAAATCCCAACATCTGGGATAATTATTTATACAAAAGTTATTCATCGGTCGCATCATACTACACACACCCACATCACAAAAACACTTAATAATCCAAGAAAACAAACGTTCAAGTTCAGACAATATAGTTTAATTACTAACAGTACCAACGATGGGATACTTAGCCTCGAATTTCTTCTCCCAGTCATCAAGGACACCCATTTCCTTATCAGTGAGGCCATCAAGGGAGGCGATTACATCTTCCTCGTTTTTGCTCATTTTGGCCAAGGCCCGGCTGGCTTCCTTGCCGGCAAACATGCTGTAGGGCCCTCCGGGACCATAGAACGACTTGCCGGAAGTCATGTCGAATATACGACCCTTTACTGCTACATATAAGGGCTTCGATGGGTCGGTGCCATCGTACTGTTTCAGCTGTTGTAGTGTGAGCTCCATTGGTGGATTTGAGAGAATTCCTTTGGTTGATTGAGTTGAGAATTGTGGTTATAGCCTCTGTGAGCGATGAGATTTGGTGCGTGGAGAGAGGGGATAAAAAGAGCTAAAAATGGGGTGGGGTCCGTGGGGAGATGTCGTCACAAGCACGTTTGGCGGAGCTTAGAAAAAGAAAAGTACTTTTTGAAAAGTAATTATAAAAAAAAATTACTTTCGAAAAGCACAAATGGCAAGAGTATCTTTTAAACTTAATAAAAAATAATGTTAATTAACACCAATTTAGGTAGTTGCGACTCACCAGTGATAAAATATCATAAACGTGACTCGTTTTTCCTACTTTTAAAGTGTTTAATTAATTAATAACAATTACATACCATCTAAACTGGTGTTAAACAATACATTCCGATGAACTCGTCTCAATGAGAGCTTGTCCTATGTTTGCCTCATATTTATAAAAACTCAAAATCACATTTTATCTACATATTTCGAGAGATTTATAGTACCACTTATTTATTTATCATTCATTTTTTATTTATTTATAAGGAGTGTGTTAGAGACACATTCTTTTGAAAGAATGTATTATTGAATAGTAGATTGATAGAAAATGTGTGGTTAAAAATGAAGGAAAAATTATTGATGTGATGGAAAATATTATTTTATTGAAGAATGTGTGGTTGAAAATGAGTAGAAGAATGAGAATGAAAAAAAATAATGATGAATAGTAAATTGATGAAGAATGTGTGGTTAAAAATGAAGGAAAAGTTATTGATGTGATGAAAAATATTATTTTATTGAAGAATGTGTGGTTGAAAAAGAGTAGAATAATGAGAATGAAAAAAATAATGTATACCAAACAGATGTTTGACTCATAATTATAAACACTCAAATTAATTTTTATCTATACATTTTAAAGAATCCTCAATTACTATCAAATGAAAGGAGAACTCAATATGTTAAAATTGAATAATTTTTTTTTTTTTTTATCATAGTATCACTTCATTGCATCAAATAGAGTAAAGAAAGACAATTTAGATAATTTTCTTTCTGGGTCTTAGCTGATTTGAAGTATCGGAGTAAAATAAATTACCATTTTCTACCCAATAGTGAAGTCCTCTTCGTTTGCATATTTGATGAGAAAGTCTAACCAACCACGTCGATCAAATTTAAATTAACAATTTATTATCCACACAATCCGTAGTAGTATCTCTTATTTAAGCGCTTAAAAATAGTCGCAAACATGCCCTTAATGACGTACCAAATGTTGCTAGATATAACATGTCTCAAGATTCTTAACAAGTGCCTATATTCATTCTTGGTTTTAATCCTCTTGCTGCAATTACTCTGGGCAACAAAGAGTCCGAAGTCAGGAAACCATTCATTGTAGTAAGAAGTTGAGTAATTGTGTCTGATTCCAAGTCCCATTTCAGGCCACATTGCGACCACGGAAGAGGTACAACCATATAGGAGGGTAAAGATGGAATCGATCTGAATTGATAATCACATCGATGTTGTCAACAATATATACATAGATAGACGTCTCAACCTTTAGCCCTTAAGAGGTATTTCCATTCCAATTGAAACAGGAGAATTTTACTCTGTAATCGCATATTTAATAAGATAAACTATACCCTACTTCTCAATATCAAAAACTAAGAAGAAAAACTCCAAAGGCCCTCCACCCGCCTTCAACTCATTACCTTGTTGGAGTAACGCCCCCAAAAAAAAAAAGAAAAAAAAGAGGAGAGAGAGAGAGGAAGGCGAAACTCACACTAAAGCAACCCAAAAAACTATCCAATCCTATCAATTATTGTATATCAAACACGTCCTAAAAGTATCACAATCAAATGATGATCAAAGAGGGTTATGGTAACTGATAAGAGTCTCACCTGTATATTTTTCTCTCACACAATAAATACAAATTAAAAATAAAGAAAATGCAGCTTTTGAGAATTTGACATACAACCTTCATTTTTTCAATGCATTGTTATGTGAAATACTGTCCAAAAGAACCTAAGAATGATGGAAAGAACCTCTTAAAGTGCGTTTGATTACGAGCATGAAATTTGTATGGAAAGAATATAAATTCTAGACAATTCAATTGTCTAGAACTTATTTGTATGAAAATTATTAATTAAACACGTTTCATTGATTTAGTTTTAACCTAGAAAATATTATACTTATCCATTTTTATTAGTGGGTAGATGAGAAAGATGATGGATGAGACACAGAAAGAGAGAGTGAATTACCTGAAAAATAAAAACAGCATTCCCTAAAAAAAAAATATGACCTCGTGACCAAAAGTAGGAAAATATTTTTCATGGAAAAAATTGTTAATCAAACAGCACAAAAGTAGGATATTATGTGAAAAAGACTCATTTACCGTGAAAAATATTGATAATCAAATGCACCCTTAGATTCCTGAGCTATAAATTCAATTAAAGAACTTCAAGCGAAAATTGAGTCAAAGCCATTTTGATCAAGTCATACAATACTGGGGTAAAATGTTTTTTTGTCTAACTAACTCGTGAAGATCGTGGACAATCTTAAATACGGCATCTGGCCTTGCAAGTCTCAATGCGTTTTGTGACATGGCTATGAGTTCGTCTTGTTTTGGACCAAACCACTGAGAGACTATGTTGGCTATTTCTTTTGGGGACTTGGAGAATTTCCCACATCCATTTTCGACAACATATGGCACATTCCCAGCTTCCTGCAATAAACAAGATATTTAAGTTACCAAACTAAGCTAAAAAGGGCATTGATTAATGACAACAAACATAGAATATACAAAGTGCATGCTTGTGGAAAACTGGATAAAAAATAAGAAAATCGATCTCAAACATAAACAATTACTACAACACTCGGATTTTTTTTTTTTTGTGGGGGTGGGGGAATGGAATGGAATATAGAAGAAGAGAATGCTGTGGCTACCTGCCCGGCAATGTAACCATTTAGAATTATGGGAAGTCCTCGAATCATAGCTTCCGCAATAGTTCCTGGTCCAGCCTGCAAAACACCATTGTCAAATGGGTGGTAACGTGCTCTTTTTTTTTTGTTTTTCTTTCTTTCTTTCTTTTTTAATATCAAACTTGATTGGGAAAAAGGTTGGAACCAGAAATTTGCATTACTGACAAGAACCATGTACCTTGGTAATGATGCAATCACAGGCACCCATGCACTCTTCCATTTTAGTGACGAAGCCCTTCACCTAAAAATGCAAGGAACTTCTGTAAGTAGTGGAAATGCATACTAAGGTTCTGTTTGGATCTTAGACATTAGTAAGAAATATGGAAAGAGAGCATAAATTGGTAAAAGATGATTTCCACACCTTTACTTTTCTACAACCACCACAACGATCTAAGCCTTATTTCAACTAAATTTGGGATTCAATATATCTATATCCCAATTTCCTTCGTTCAGAAACAGTGATACTCTATTCATAGTTGTCTGTTTTTTACCCTGAATGTTCTATCAACATTTTGTTAAATGAAATCGAACCTCTTGAATACTTCACTTCCATTTCTTATTAGACTCATCAATCCCTACCAACATATGATGTGTGGTTAAGCTCTCAGAAGGAATTACCACATAATCCTTTCACAACGAACTATCTACCTTCCGAGTAAGGATGAAATATATTTGACTAAACTTCTGCTCATTCTCAAAGTTAAATAGTGTGATTCTCTCTTTTAAAAGCAAGTTTCACTAGTAACAAATCATAAGCTAACCGAAATTTGGTAGTAGTAATATTTGACCCAAACCCAAAATTTTCATGCACTCTTATATATAGATCATATCTTGACTAGGCATTGCCTTAATAAACCCCCAACCATGTCATTCCATAACTGTTGCTTTGTTGCCTTATTTAATCCTATTTTGCATTAAGGCACTAATAACACTAATCAACTCTTCACCTAAAAGCAGTCTAACTAATATAATCATCTTCCATTTAACTTCTACAACCTCATTTTTTATTGGTTCAAAAATTATTCGCCCATTCCCATTCTTTTTGCTAGCTATGTATCAAAAGTTTATATTGTGCGTTCATTAATTCTTATGCGTTGTCTCCCACTCATTTGACCTATAGTATTTGTGTGCAAACTATATTGACTTTCCTAGTATGTATCACATCTACTAGTTCTAAGAATTTTCCCATAAGTATCTTTTTATCCAAGTTCTGATACTAATTCTAATCCTGGACTAAGTTCTATACCAGCCTTCACCCTTTAGAATAAAAATAAAATCCAAAAATGTCTCCAATATACTTGAGTATCATACAAAACAAAATATTTAATTTGAAGGAATAACAGACAAACACAAAAAAATAAAAATAAAAAATTAAGCAAGGGAGAAAGATGAATCTTCTAAGCAGTATGAGATGATAGTGGCACAAGAAAGAATTGGATGTTATGGTACACATTCAACTTGCACTATCACTATTTACGACGTCATATTGCATAAGATGCCTCAATTAAATATCTCCAGAAATAGGAGTGAATGTCATAGCCTCTTTACGCAACATAATATGATAGATGAGTTATTACAAGGCCAATTGTAGGAAATTCTTAGGAGTTGTTACCTGGACAGGAACCTTCCAGTTTATTGACTGTAATCTGTTGGCAAGCTTTTTATTGCGGCCACAGATCACAAGAACCTGACCTATTGGTTCCCCATGAGTCTCATCATATAATGCATCACCAAGTGCTCGTGCAGTAGCCTCGATGGGACCCATTCCTTCCCCACCTCCCATTAGCAAAACAGCAGGGAGGTACTTGTCCATTCCAAGCTCCTCCCTAAGTTCATCCTATAAATTCAATACAAAATAGTCTGATATTAGTTATATGCTCGAACACGGAATAAATGGCTTGCAAGCCATTGGTGATTATGCAGACAAAGTTACAAAGTCCAGTCATATTCCAGAGCCACAAAATGTAAGAAAACTATTGTTTCTCCTTCCAAAACAATACACAGAAGTGAATGAGAAGCTTGCACCACTAAAGTTTACAAGCAAATAACATAAAATTCTGAAGCCACGTTATCACCAACTGCAGTCTAAATTTAGAGGGAAAAAAAATGAGAAGAGCAAGACAAGATTAAAGGGAGAACGATGGAGGAACAGAACATGTTTCATAACAGACAGGAAAACCAATATTCAAGCAGTTTTTGACCTGGGGCCAAAATTAAACAGGGCACTCCTCTTTGCTTGGTTTCACTAGAAACAAGATCAGAGAAAGGAAGCACCGAATCCCTGCAACATAAAAAAGTCAATGACCTAGAAAATACTATATTTATAGGGCTATATCTTTTATTAGAGTGAAGGGCCTCAATGATAATAATTAACTTCCTTCATGGACACATTTACTGATTCCTTTCAAATGTCTACCAATTTTCAGCAGTCATGCATGTACCTGGAAATGCCCATGATGATCTGAATGACTCTTTTAATACACGAATTTTGAGCATTGTGTGAAAAATATCATCTTAAACTATGCACCTCCAAACATAATGTCGATTATCTTTAACTTACTAGTCGACCAACCTTTGGTGTTGCAACTTACATGACCATAGTTATAGTAGACAAGAAATTTAACTCACTAGCTTTTAATGAACCAACTTTGCTGTTGTTATCCACGAAATCTCAGAATGACTCGAAACAGTTTCAGTTTTCTGGTGAAGTATTAGAATACAACGGGAAGTTTTTAACCTCTGTACTGTACTAGCTGCAATGATTAACAGTTAAAA